ATTGTTGGAATTGATAATTATATGCATCAGAAATATGAAATAGTGTATGCAATGGAAAATGTCAGTCATATTTATTTGACTGTGTCTTTTCGTGGGCGGAGGGTGTTGCATTCAGGTTAAATTCTATCTTAAGGCACAGTTCATATTCTGGCTGTATGAACTTCAATAAATATGAAGTCCTCATGCTGTGACTAGTTCTTTATCATTTATTAATTTATTTTCTATTGATTTTAAATTATTAGTGAATTTAATTCGATTATGTATTTTTTTCTCGATTGATTGGACCGAAGTACTCGGTCTCAGGTTGACATGTTGACTTATTGTGCAGACGCTGCGATGATTTCTGGGAATATATTTAGAAGTTAATTGGTGGTTGGTCATTAGCCGACATGTCAACCTGAGACCGAGCACTTCAGTTCATTCATTCGACGGAGAAATCTAAAATTGAATTAAATAATTAACATGACCCGTTTCATAAGAGGTAGCCAGCTGTCTTGGTCCAAGTGGTCTAGTAGATAACGTTTCGGCGTTTGTAACTATGTGCACTGGGTTCGATCCTCGATGAGAACATCATCGCTCACATCAGAATACAGGTCCATCCAGATAACGAGTCCCAAATAGGATGAAATGCGCATCCTAGATTCCACTCCCAATCACCATCCAATAATTAACTATTAATGAGTTTACAATTGATTGCTATAAACTATTCCAAAATACTGTCAGCAGAAATCAAGCCGTATAGTCCCACAATATCAGTCACCGGGAAATGCACATTTTCGATGAACAAGGAGTGTGTCTCTGATGGCTCTACGGCCTGTGGGACTACATTCTAAAGTTTGAAAGAATAGATGATGGAGCTCGAAACTTACTTGGGAGCATTATCACTCACTAGAATGCATGGGCACTCAGCTGTTGTTTCCCAGATATTGAGAAACACGTGTGCCGCATTCCACTGTTAACTCGAGGTTGTAGCTGATTCGTCATATTATTCAACGGTATCCTGAGTGTTTATCCTGGATATCCTGCTGGTTGCTGTCGCTATTGATTGGTTGGTTATCTTCATCACCTCCGTCTTCTCTGTGTTCACCTGCAGTCCTGTTTTCACTGCCTGCCTCTTCAGCCAGTTTGTTGGTTTTCTCTCGCAAGTCTTCGAGTTTGTGTGACATCAGACTTATATCATCTGTGAAGTCCAAATCTTCTTGAGTCATCTCATCAGTTGTTCGGCGTACTCCTGTCTCACCTCTCTCAACACACAGTCTTTTGCATAATCCAGTCCATCACAATTAAAACAATCATCGCTGATAATAAGCAGCCTTGTCTTACTTTTGTGACCACCTCGAACGCCTATCTGAATTTTCCGCTGCCACTGTCATAAAGCTGTCGAATGAGGTTGATAAGAACTTGGGCACTGCACGCCATAGTGCTGAAGTAGTTTCCAAACTACTCCTCGGCCAATGCTGTTGAAAGCCTTTTTGAAGTCGACGAGAAAAGTTGAAGTAGCGGTTTTACTACCATCCTATGCTTTGTTCTGTGATGACGATTCGTAAAATGGCAATTTCATCAGCATGTGATTTGCATTTCTTGAATCCAGTTTTCTCGTCGTAGTGGGGCGGAGTTCTGTATCCAGCGCATCCTTTATTCTCTCCAGGATAGTGTGACTTAGTATTGTACTTGGCGTGGACAAGATCATAATTCCATGCCAGTCAGTTCTTGCACAGGCCTAAGTCGTCTCTCTTTCAGTCATTAGGTACCTTTCCTTCTTTCGAAATCTTTTGCAATAATGACTTCAGCACATCTGCGGCAGCCTATGGATCCGTTTTCAATGCATCGGTAGGAATTCCGTCTGGTACTGCTACTTTCCCCACTGGACTTCAGTAGCTTGATCGCATTCACGATTTCATCTTTCGTTGGAGGAGTGGTGTCCACTAGCAGACATCTCCGTGCATGCTGTTGTTTGTGGTATTTCTTGGTGAGATATGTTTATTTGTTTCTTCCCCTTGGTGATCAGGTTTACTTGAGCATCTTTCATTGGTTTCACCGTCTGGCTTGATCTTTTCTCGGATAGCGAGCAAAAAACAATCAATAACCCACTGTTCAACAAACGTTCTGAAAAAATCGAGATGAATTAGACACACGGTGAGAAAACCTCTGAATGATATAGAACGCCAAGCTATGCCTTGAGCTGAGCCTGAATTTGAAACAACGAGAGAAGTGTCCAAGAGAGACATGAAGGATTTCGTGCGAGGAGGAAATCAGAGAAAATCTGCAATCGGATGACCAGTTAGTGAGGCTTGCAGTAAATAGGACTAAGTGAAGACGTCATGTTGAAGCCTCAAGAGAATAATAATGTAATATCCTTTCTAAATAAAATCTTACTCAGAATACCGGTATCCAGGCTGTTAGCCCACTTTTCAAAAACAATATAGGTGTGTTAAAAGAGTCTACAGTGTGGGGATTACATCGATCACACAACCACCGAATGTCTTATATAAGGAATGGTTTGGTAGACTGAAATCATTCCTTCTGTCATATCATCTGCTAAGAAGTAACCACATGTAATTTCACTGTATTTTATGCAATGGTTTGCATGTTAATTTATCTTATTTATTACCACTTGAATCCACTTTCAAGTTCAAAAACCATGACTTCAGAGTGTGAAAGTTTCTGCCTTGAGTGTAACTGTCAACCTGCAGAATTCTCTACCAATGAGTGTCGTATCAGAATCCTCTACTAATTCATTCACAGTTAGACTGGACATCCTCTGTACACAATGACATAGATCTAAATTATAGTACTTCTAATAATTTGAATCTGCAATCTCGACATTTGTTAATTTCCTACACTTTATAAAATTTAATTGTAAAATTTCCGAGCTAAAGTCAACGATTTATCTAATGTGGTGGAATAAAATGAAACAGAAATCATTTAAACAATCTCACGAGAAAACCTCAACTTAACATTTTCCCAAAAGTCATACAGACAATGAAAAGTTAAATTACTTGAAAAGAATTTCAACTCACAACACCGTATACATGCTTTATTAATAAATTTAATCTAGACAATGTTATCTTCTAATACATTATGATTTGTAGCGCTATTGATTAATATTGGCAAAGTCGCGTTGTCTAAGCTAGACGGTTTATTTGCGAAGGTTGTATTGCCAATTTGAGCAACATATTCAGTGAAGACTTCAATATGTATTGAGGTTCCCAAATCCTCCGAGGATGACAGAACAATCGCAGATGACATAGTCTTTCTAGGTGAAGACGGTGACAAAATACAGACAGGGTCTTCTGAACACCTTGAGATGAAATCTACGAATGTTTGTAATGTGATTCGCTCCCACCAAATGTAAGATATTGTTATAGGATTGGACTACACTGACTCCTAGTTTAGAAATAGGGAGTAAAGTGGTAGAGCACGTTGACCGCTTCACTTATTTGGGAAGTACCATCAACCAGTGCCAACGGGTTCATCTCTGACAAAATCTCAGCACCGATACACAGGGCTAGTTTCGCATATGCCAGTTTACGCCGTCTCTGGCGTAGACGAGATATCCTACTATCGACCAAAGGGTGTATGTTCTGCTCATTAGTCCTCTCCGTCCTCCTTTAAAGCTGTGAGACTTAGTCATTGAGAGTGGAAGACATGAAAGGCTTGGCTAGCTGTCTTTGATCATAGGTCCCTGCGTTCTATCCCTCGTGTGAAGTGGAATAATAGGGTGAGCAATATTCAGGTAAGGCATCGGTCGAGTTCTAGGTAAGCAGGGGAAATCAATCGATGAGGTTGTGGAGTTACATGGACTGAGATAGTTAGGACATGTGTTACGTATGCTTAGTCATCGCCTCCTTTGACAGGGGGGCAATGTTAGCTGGTATAGGGTCACGCTGGAAAACAGCTGGCGGCGGTCAAACCAAAACATGTCACCAGTCAATGAAATCCACAACAGGTAGTCTAAGCCACGTAGGGAGGTGCAGAATTCCTGATTGGTTGGGATCCTCGAGACGGTAAAACCAATGGTTGAAAACATTTGGTGACATGGCTCAAAATCGTTCTCAATGGTTAACGCAGATGCAACCACGCCTTGTGACTTGTGATTTCCAACGAAACTGTATTGTTCTTCGTTTCATCTATTTCTTTGTCTCACACCTCTGTTTACTGTCTCTGTTATGCATTTCTTCTACTTTCTTCTCTTGCTTTGTGTGCTAGAAGGAGGGAGTCTGGCGACTTGAATTGCCGCACATATGTGCAAAGTCTTATGTCGAAAACAGACAAACACACAGCCTTCACCTGTAGCTGAAACGACGCTGCCTAGATAACTTAAAGAAGTGATCTGTTTCCGATTGATAGGGATTGGTGCTTCTTGTTGTTGGTCCGTGGGTATCTTCATCAACTCTTTCTTCTCCATGTGTACTTAAACTCCTATCTTTTCTGCTTCTTGTACCAATTTGTTTGTCTTCGTATTGCAGTACTTAACATTTACCTGTATTCAGCGATTTACGCTGTCTGTCACGTTATGATGGTGAATTATTAGATGTGCTAACCATCGACTGTTTCAGAACTCATTTTCTTTCAAGGTGATTTAACTTCACTTGAAAGTGTTTGTGTGTTGCTAAAGACAGCTAAAGCTTCCTCATCAATGAGAGTGGGGTTTGATTTTGTGCTCTTCGTTTTTCGTGGTGGTGGTGGTGGTTAAAGTCCGGATTAGCGACCAGGATATTTTGTTTTCACGCATTGTGTTCGTGTGGCTTGGAGTGTACTTTATGTTGTATTACCTGTTGCGTCAGATCTGAACCAATCGTCTGTCAGGATTTATCACCGACTTTCAACGTGGCTGAATAATTCTGTGATTAACCCACACCGATAGATGTCTCATCAGTTCTTAGTGTGTGTGTGAGTGTGAAATTGTGTAACTGATATATTACTCACACACAAATTGCTTTTCGTGGCATTTCTTCTACATTTTTATTTCTATATTTTCTGTTATAACATTTGCGTAGGATTCAAATGATCAACCGATCTCGTGGGTTCGCGTTCACATCGATTATATGCGTAGTGAATTGTCCACTGGTTCAACTGATCAAAATGGTCATTTTAGCGTCGTCTTACCACCAGGAGTGTATCGTATAACCCTGCGGGCTAAAGGTTACTTAGATTTGAGTGAAATAATTATTGTGGATATAATGAAAAGTCCTATTCATCGTGTATTTCGTATGAAACATGTCGATGGATTATCATCAGCTTATCGTTTATACGTGGTTGGTATGATTGGTGAGTAATGCGTTTTTATTTTTCTTTATTTTCTTTTCGATACATTTGGAAAGTTCCACGTAGGCATGTGTAGACTGACTGCATGAAGTTGGAGGTGTGGGGTAGGGTGGGCATTCCAAGAGCCAGTGACTGGAGAATGTTGTCAACATGGCTGAAAATAGCTCTCAATAGCTCAGATGCTTTCAGTCCATTTATGAACACTTAAATCTATCAAATTATTATTGTTCTTGATTTGTTAATTCTTTATTTTGTGCATTTCAATGCGTCAAAGGATCTTGGAACTAATTTTATGCCTTATGAAGCACTGTAACTTCAACTGGTACACTTTTGTGGAAATGTCTACTTTCATAACCAGAACTCAGTCAGTGAGTAATAGCAGTTAATCACTTTAAACGTTGAATTACGTTGAATGGCATAAAAGATAGTGGATGTTCGGAGTTACTTTCTATTCTATTGAACATTCAGTTTTTATTAGATAATTATTGAATGGTTATTCAACTTTCTGAGTGGTTAACTGAGATTATAGGGAAGTTCGCAGATTTAGTATATAGTTAATGTGAGTGTAAGACTTGGGGACTGTGTTACAATATAATTCCATATTATTATCATTACTATATGCTTTAATTCCTAGAGGAACATAGGGCTTCAGCTGCACGTCTCCATTGCCTTCGGTTTTCTACCAACTTTTTCACCCCGCTCCAAGTCTGCCCACATGCTTTCATCTCCTCTTCACATGACCTCCTCCAAGTCACCCTCGCACTTACGACAAACTCGCTGCTTCCCTTTCGGGTCACACTCGAGCGATGGCTTGTCTAGTGATGTCATTTGATGATTTCCTCAGCGTATAGCTAATCCATCTCCATTTCTTCCTGCCTATTTGTTGCAAAATGGGTTCCTACTGGGTTGGTTCGCTCATTACAAAAGAACTTTGTTACTGATCTTTCCTGGCTGGCCATCCGATCTTGAGTATTGAGCGAAGACAGCTGTTAATGAAGGTCTGAAGTTTGGTTGAGATGCTCTTTATCAGGCACCAAGTCTCTGATCCGTACTGGAGTAGAAAATCCAGATCTTATTTTTGATGCTGAACGCTGTTGACCTCCACACAGACTTAAGAGTATTGAAAGCTTGTCTTGCTTTTCCCATCACTGCTTTGATATCCTCGTCAGTTCAGTTTGCCTGCAGTTGAAACAATGCTTCCCAGGTAGGTAGGTAAAGTAGGTTGTTTCTTTCAGGTTCCTCCCATTTATGTTGGATGATTGTTGTCTGTTGTTGTCAAGCAGGAATCTTTATCACCTCTGTTTTTTCTCTGTATTCACCTGAGGTCCTAACTTCTGTGGATGCTTCTTCTGCCAGCTTGTTGCTTTTCACTTGCATATCTTCCATTTTGTGGGAAATCAGACATATATATCATCGGCGAAGTCCAGAACTTCCAAGTCTTTTGTGTGAGTCCATTTTATGCCTGTTTCCTCATTACCTGTTGTCTGTCGCATTATCCAATCTACTGCAATCAGGAAGATCATTGGCGATAGTAGACAGCCAGCTTGCCTCACTCCCGTCCTCACTTCGGAGAATTCCGTAAGTTTCCCGTTGTGGATTACTTGACATGCAGCATTGTCGTATAACTGTTGGATGAGATGTATAATTTTAGATGACACCCCGTTGTAGCGAAGTAGTTGCCGAATCACCTCTCGATCGACGCTGTCTGCTGAAGGCCTTTTCAAAGTCGATTAAATTTGAGATAGATATGTGACTGCCATTCCAAGCTTTGTTCAGTGATGATCCATAGAGTGGCAATTTGATCAATACATGACTTGTTTCTCCTGAATCCAGCCTGTTCCGGTCAAAGCTTTTCATCCATTTGCTTCTGCATATCCTACGGTCCTTCGCTCTACTTCATTTGCGTGTGTATTTGCTATGGAAGAGTGTCAGATTTATTCAGTATTCATCGCTTCTTCTTTATAAGTAGTTCTACAGAATCACTGACTTTATAGATGTTCATGAACGCTAAATCTTTGAGTTTCATGTACACTGTTACTATTTGGCATTGAAATATTGTAATGAAGTTTTTTTATATAGAAAAGCACTTTGTTTCTTCATGGTATTGATGAAATGTAGTGAAACAGAGATGTATGTGTGTGTGTTCCGCTTATAAATACATTGACTGAATGAGTTTCAAAAGGTGTTTGCGTTCTATTACCTGTATTAAATGGCATAGTGAGGCAAGTAGCACAGTGAGTTTACGTGTAGAGTTTTAGGTAGGAACGTGTAAGTCAATCGTGAGGTTGTGAAGCTAAATAGAATGAAATTAGAAGAACATGTGTTATCTATGCCAACCAATGGCTCTCCTTGTCGAGCAATGTTAGCTGACATTGGGTTAGGTTGTTGAAGAGTTACCGGTGGTTAAGTCAAAACCTGACAGCAATCTATGAAGACTTTGTCCGTTAATTTGAACTAACCAACTAGGGAAGTGTAAACTGACTGCCCGGTGTCCTTAGGATACTAAGAACTAAGTTGTTTGTGGCTCAAAATGTTTCTCAATAGCGCAGATTCATTCACTCTGTACAATTGTGTAGATCCACTAAATCCGAGTAATTATTGTTTCTCCCTTAAATTTCCGTTTATTATAGTTTTCCTTGCCTTATTGTGCAACATGGATTCTAGCTATTTGAACTGTCTCACTTTTAAACAAAGTTCTAAGCTGAAACTGAATCTGTCAGTCAGCCAGGTCATGCTTTCACTGCAAACATTAGTAATTTATTTGACTGAGTATTTTAAACTTAGAACAAGTTGCCACACTTCATGTACCACACAAAGTAAGACACAAGAGAGAAGAAAAGAAATTCGGAGGAACGCCAATATGTCAAAATGTGAAGGAAAAACAATGGATATATATTGTCATATATTGCAAAGAGTGAATGCATCTTCGCCATTGTGAACGATTTTGAGCCATATCACAAATTGTCTCCACCCATCCGTTCTTAGAATCTCGAGGACGCTAAACAAACGGTCTACACCCACCTATGTGGCTAGCTGAAACTAACTTTCAAAGGTTTCATGGATTGATCACAGGTTTTTGTTTGACTACTTATAATCCTTTTTCAACCTAATCCTATGTCGACTAACATTGTTCGTTTAGAAAGGTGATGGCCAGGCACGTGTAACGCATGTTAATCGAAGTAGCTTCACAACTCCATCGTTATGCCATCCCTTCTTTATCTGACACTAAATGCGCCTAATCTGAGTATTTATCACCATATTATACCGGTTAACATGTGAGTTAGTAGAATACAAATGTCCTATGATCATAGATAGCTTACTGTTTCTTGTCTACCAATTCCAGTAGCCATGTCTCAAAACCAGCCATAGAGGAAGGTCGGAGCAAATCTATGGGGGCAATATGCATGTCCATCTATGGATAGGTGGATATCATGTCCACGCTAGTGATGATGTAGGTTGTGCTCGACTGTCATGTAAATATCCAAATCATTGCATTATTTACCCGTTCTTATCATGTTGCTCCACGGTGTTGCTCCCTGAAACAATTTTTTTCAGTTATCTTTGTTTAAGATTATTACCTATTAATGCGTATCCTTTTTCTCTCTCTCTGTTTTTTTTCTTTACAGCATCAATTGTTGCAATATTTTCATTAACTTTAACTATCTGTGTATGCTATCATTTCTGTTGTCATTCACGTGTACCATATGCAATCGTAAGACGTTCAGTTGATAGATCGGATAAATCTTCACCATTATCAGCATCATCAAGTCATCAAACAAAGCGTGGACCATATTCACTATTAGCTATGGATGATATGAATACGTCGTATGGTAATGATAATGATAATAATCACAACGGATCATCAAATAATGACTGTCTGGAATCAATGTTAACACATAATGGCACAGATGAAGACGGAAACGATGGTGATGATTATAATAATAATGATGATGATGATGACGGCGTTGATGCTGAAAGTGACAATGGCAATGTAATAGTATTGCATGATTCAAACCTACGTGAAACAAAATTAGGAGCAATGAAGTCATTAGTTAAAACAAAACTATTTAATAAACGTATTTCAAATCGTATCCATAATAAAAATCGTAAATACATCCCGAAATCCATGTCATCATCCTATCGTGATGGTAATGGCGACGACGATGATGATGTACTTGAAGAGGTTCAACTTGTTTGAAAAATAACGGCAACGCATATGTTCAATGTTCAACGCAATTGAAATAAAAGCATATAGAAATATTCCTGGTCCGATCATATTATATTCTTTTGTTCTGTTTTGTATTTATATATTTATTACTTTCTGTTGTGTTTTCGTCAGTGTTGTTGCTGTTGTTCTGCTTTCTTTTATTGAATAAATTGTAATCTTCATTTTTTCAGAGTATATCTTTCATTGACACTAAGTCTCTTTAGTCTGTCTCTATCATGCATTCCAACCAAAAATCTGATGTGATCTCTGTGTGTGTGTCTTTTACATTTATCCTTTCGGACGAAAGTTTTTGAAAATTCACATCAGATTGTGATACATTTATATACACACACACACCTTTTTTTTGTCTTTCTTCAATCTTTTTATTAGACAGTGAGTGATATGTTCAATGTGTTCAATGATTGACTGTTTTTTTTGTTTAAATTCACTGTGTTTTTCTTTTGTCTGGCATATTTAAATTTATTGATTTTTTGTATTTTGTAGGATTGAACCCGGTATCATAGTGAAAATTAGGTTGCATATCGGTGAAAATCTGTTTGCTGTTCTTTTTTTCTCACTGATTTTTTACTTTCAGAAATATTTCGATTCCACTGACAGACAATCTCATGTACACTGCTGTCTCTGCTGCACGTTGCTCTTTTGTTGTTCACGCTTCTTTTAGTAATATTTGCTATTTTATATTTTTAAGTGTATTTCTTGGTTGTTTTTTTTAAATATCTATTTCAGTCGGTCATCACAATTTGAAGTACTCCACACTGACATTTAATTTGTTTGTTTATTTCTCATGCAATATTCAATTTTATAAAATATTTCAATTCTCACATAATCGACATTTGCTGCTATGTAGTCAACTCCACTACTTTTTATTTCTGTCTTCCGCCTCATTTGCATTTTTTTTTTCATTTTGATGTCTTTACAGTTAATTTGTTTTAAATACGCGTGTTTTCAATGTCAGCTATGCGTTTGGTGGTATTTTTTTTGGTTGATTTATTTTATATTTCGAGAAAATAATGGTAAATCGTAATCATATCTCCAAGTGAATAAAAGTTATATAAACATGTCATTGATATTGTACTTATATGATTTGTATTGCGCTCACGATAATTAACTTGTAGGATGTTTTTGCTGGCTATGCGGAGGATTTGGGTTTGACTCCCGGTGGATACATTCCTAAACATTGCTCAGCCGGTAATAATCCTTAAAAAAAAAGAGATATTTAGGTGAAAGGCTAGCAACTACACTTCGTGGGAAAAATGGTACCACTTCGAAAGGCTTGAAGTCGTATGTTACCCTCAGAACTTAGGTGAAGAAAAGCAATTTTTAAGAGATGGTTCATTCATTAACTCTTCTCTTGAAGACGTTTTTGTAACCCTATTACGGCCTTAATAGCCAAAGGCATATCGGAAGGTATGTTATCTGTGTATTATGAGTGAAAATTGCCTGTATTCTGTCGTCGTCGCATATTGATCTTTGTGACATGAAGTTTCATTGTCAATATTATTGGTACGATATGAGCACCAAGAGATGAGCCATACCAAATCTCATAGTTTGTTTGTGAGATAAGGTACTGTTCGGACGCTCTAACCAAAGTAGATGGTTGTCATAAGGCGTCAACCCCCAATCTTTTGGCTTGCAGTCTGATCCACAAAGCAGTGGAGCAGTTGTCATGGGATACATTCCTACGGCTTTCATTGACCAAATCAGGTTCATATGCCATTCTAACGTTTCCGATTCTGGAGTCCATTTATACCATAAGTACAAAAATCAGGCTTTTCCAGCTCTTCCTTGTTGGCTTGCATGTTCACTGTTCTAAATATAAAGCACCAGACGTTTACATTTATTATTCCACTTTCTGATGCTGACAAAATGCAGAGTCTTCTAAACACTTTGAACTGCAATCTACGAATGTTTGTAATGTGATTCGCTCCCACCAAATGTAAGATATTGTTATAGGATTGGACTACACTGACTCCTAGTTTAGAAATAGGGAGTAAAGTGGTAGAGCACGTTGACTGCTTCACTTATTTGGGAAGTACCATCAACCAGTGCCAACGGGTTCATCTCTGACAAAATCTCAGCACCGATACACAGGGCTAGTTTCGCATATGCCAGTTTACGCCGTCTCTGGCGTAGACGAGATATCCTACTATCGACCAAAGGGTGTATGTTCTGCTCATTAGTCCTCTCCGTCCTCCTTTAAAGCTGTGAGACTTAGTCATTGAGAGTGGAAGACATGAAAGGCTTGGCTAGCTGTCTTTGATCACAGGTCCCTGCTTTCTATCTCCTGTGTGAAGTGGCATAATAAGGTGAGCAATATTGAGGTTAGGCAACGGTCGAGTTCTAGTTAAGCAGGGGAAATCAATCGACGAGGTTGTGAAGTTACATAGACTGAGATGTTTGGGACATGTGCTACACATGTATGCCTTGCCATCGCCTTCTTCGATGGGCAACGTTAGCCGAAATAGGGTAAGTTTGGAATAGAGCTAGTGGTGGTCAAACCAAAACATGGCTTCACCAGCCAATCAAATCCACAACAGTAAGTTTAATCCGGTCACTGACGTCGCAAGGTGTACACCATTTGACTGGTTGGTGTCCTCGGGACGGTAAACACCAATGGCTGGAAACAATCGGTACTATGGCTCAAAATCGTTCTCAACGGCGCAGATGCATCCACTCCCTGTGACCTATAATTTCTAGTGAAACTATATTGTTATTCGTCATTACTACTCCTCCTGTCTTATATATCCCTGTCTACTGTCTATATTATGCATTTGTTCTATTTTCTTCTCTTGCTTTTTGTGCTACATGGAGTGTGACGACTCGAACTGCTGCACATCGATGCAAAGTTTAATGCTGAAAAACAGACAAACCGATATAACTATCAGTCTTGATGACTTTTTTTCAGATTGGCTGTCAATTTGTAATAGTATCAACCTACACTAATATCACTCTACTGATTGTATAACTTCTCAGTATTTTTTACAGTTGATGGTGGTCAAGATATATGCTGTCGTTCTACTTGAGACACGTTAGCTGAAAGTTTGGTGTGATGATCAATATGTCTGAGTCTCATTGGGAACACCATCACCCATATGAACTCCCAGGATTTTGTCGCTGGCCACTATCAACCGACTTTTATCATACTACGTCTTCAGACATAATCTAAGCCTCCATCCTAGGGACGACTTAGGGGACAGTCGAAAGAGACCAAACATTTTGGTCTAATGTACACCAATCAACAGGAAAAAAAAAATAATTTAAACAAATCACTATCAATACTCTATCTGATCACGTCAATTCACAGGAAAAATATGAATGACATTCGACTGGGTAAATAAAGCTGTTTACTGAAAAAAATATTTGTAAACTAAGTACCCATGCACTCAATTCATATTAATACAATTATGACTTCCAAATCACGTAATAAATAATAATCTACTGTAATAAAAATTCGTATGCTACCCTGCATATATCTACATGTTACACTGTTTACACTACTGGCAAAAGATTCATTTACTGATATGCCTTTTACATGACAGTTTACGATCTACTTAGTAAATTAGGGCATACAAATGGACAGTTAACTCATGAAAAGATTATGCATGTCAGATAACAACATTAGATATATCATTTGATGATTTCTCAAAGGGCAATTAAAGGAGTAATAAATATGATGAAGTCTCAATGAGATCACATTGTTCATAATTGGTGGAAAACCTTATAATTTGTTGACAGCTGCTGGATATTTCCTGCTTACCTCTATTTTTGAAAATAGGGATACAACTTCAAATAACCACTGCATTCTATTCACTTTCGCCTCTAAGCATTTCTTCCCTCTTCATATGATCGCCTCCATGTCACACACTCGGACACCCAACTCGTCGCTTCCTATTCGGTTTTCATTCAACAGTCTGACCTGTGATGTCACTTAAAAGCCTCCTCAGGTTGAGTTCAATCAATCTGCATTGCCTTTTGCATATTTATTCACTAATAGGTTCTTGCTCAGTTTGCTGACTGCCTGAGTTCCTCGTTGCATGCTTGTTTTTCGACCATCGGATCTTTGATACCAAGTGAAGGAGAAGTGTGCTGATGAAAGACAGTAGCAAGCTGTTACAAATGCTTTCAGCGGCGTATTCACCAACTCTGTGAACTATTTAGCAATGGTAACTTGAAATTAATGCTAAGAATCTAGATCCTATTCACAGTGAAACTCCAACCTGATTTTGGATCAATGGAAGCTTGTTTCGGTTTCTCAAATTGATCCTTCCTTACTCTAACATCTTCATCCGGACCATTTATGATGTGTATCGGCAGTTCTGCAATTTGATCTATTCTTCATGGGCTTTTCCTGAATCCAACCTGTTCTAGAATATCTTTTAGCCTCTCAAAGATGATTTTGACTAATATTTTGATTGGAGTGGACTAAACCGTGATTGGTCGTCACCTGGGTTGGTTGTTTTATTCCACTATTTCAGCAGCTGTCCGTAAACGTCCTATCCACTGTCCAGTGTCTGCATTGTCTGTAGGAGCACAGAACTGCATAATTATAGCTTACTACCCTTTGAGTCTAGTCTGGCTGTCATCCTCTCAGAGGAATCTATTGCTCACAACATAAAAGTCATCAATTAACCAATTCTTCAGTATGTTGCAGTTGTCGTCTCCGTGACTGGCTACTGTCAAGCTGATAACTCGGTGGGTTGACTTCTACTCATATGAACTATGATCAAGATTTGACCTCAAACTTACAAATATAAATAGCGTAAACAGTGTGTACGTTTGGACCCAGCTTTTAGCTATTTTGTTCGACTAAATTTCACCGTCGTAGATAACTGAATATAGAAAATATATGTGTATATGCGGTATACAGTAGTGTGTGTGTATACATGTGTGTTTGTTGTTTGTCTTCTTCTGTTTTATATCCTTAACGTTCACCAGTGGTAGGCGTAAGTTGTCCGTTGAACGGAGATATACTCACATATCAATAGGTTTCAATTCATTCTTATCTTTACATTTCTTAATAAAGGATTTGAAATCAAGACATCTAGGAATAGCTGAGGCCCTGGCGATCCAAAAGCTCAAGCCTATTCTGTGTGTCCAAAAGAAATACGTCCATCCTTTGTCCCTACCGTGGCCATCATGAAAAGTCAGTCTGACCAATAATGATTATCCTGTTATCTTTTTTGTCCAACCTTCCCGTTTATTTGTTATATTTACTTTTTAAATCCCTATGTGCATAATAAGTTTTCATTACTGTTTTTTATTTGTATATGTCCAAACCTCCTACCCATTTCGTTAGTGCTACGTCCTTAATCTGTAATTATTCAGACTGACGATTCCCCTAGTATTTTTTTAAATCCTGTTTTGTCTTTTCTACCCGATCTTCCTGATTATTACACATTAGGCCTTTTGATTTGACCTTTGATCTGAAATATTTCTGGAATAGTACGACTTCCTGTTTTATGTTTATTACACGTAGTAATTTTAATAATCTGACCTCCGACTGAAAATAGTTCTGGAACTTTCCCACACATATGATGTAAATACACGAATGTACAGCCCAACTGATGACTTCTTCAAAAAGATAACTTTCTACACTGCAATCGTTTTTAAATAAATATGTTCTTATTAAGGCTTTGGGGTAATTATTAGATCCTGGAGAGAACAGGACCAATTTTAGTTTCCCATTGATCTCCTTCTCCGCAGTAATAAGCCTTTTGGCTCAGTCAATCAGATTCTTGGCCACAGTTACTTTGATAGTAAAAGGATGTGCTGAATTGTTGTCTAGGTATCTGACCGAATGTGCGCACTTTCTTAAGATATTTATTTGAAGTTTATCATCTGGTTGTCATTTAACTAAACAGTTCAGGAACACCAAATCATTTGCGTAGAATTCAACCTCTTTTGAAAACTTAGGGGTTTTTTGAAATATTGTTTATTAAATGAAAAAGCGCATTGAACATAATGAGTATGTTTATACCAGAGGTATCATCCACATATCGTAACTACATTTTGGGATGATAAGAGCATCTAATTATTACATTTGTTTTTGATGAGT